TCACTAAGTTGCATCCCCAGCCGCTCAAGGCCATTTTAAATCATGAGTCCATATTAATATTTCTAATTAAGCTTAAATGGCATAGTATTTTTTTCTGTTATCTTAGATCCTAATTGTATTTTGAAATTTAAAATTTGAAGCAGTTATAAATACCTACTACTGAGGAATGAAGAGAATGACTTCAAAATAACAGTATTGACAGTAACCATAAACATACTGAATCATGGCTTTTTTTTTTTTTTTGGTTCTTTCAGTGTATCTCTTAAGAGATATATAGTTCAAAACTTCTTTGTTCTAAAGCCATTTGAAATCAATTCTTTCTCTGAGGAGTTATATAACTAAATTAATATACAGTTAATTTCATTTGTTTCCATTTGTTTTCAAGTTGAGACTGCTTTTTAAAAGAATTTGATTACTTAAAAAAATAATACTTTTCTGTGATTCAGCAAAAATACATCTCACAGAAATATTCTGCTCTTCTAATCACATTCTTCTTTGTCTCATGTAAGTACAGTTTATTGACTTTTTTGTTGTTTGTTTCTTTTTCACCCTTCAAGTGGATTTTTTTGTTGTTGTTTGGTCACATTTATTCCTATCTCCGATTCCCCACTCTCTTTACATATAGGGTAGCATACCATCGTCACCTCTTTATACCTCACTTTTTCCACTTAAAAGTTCTGGGGCTAGGTTGTGGCTTGGTGGTAGAGTACTTGACTGCACATGTGAGGCACTGGGTTCAATTCTCAGCACCAAATAAATAAATAAATGTATTGTGTCCATCTACAACTAAAAATAAAAAATAATTATACCCTGAAGATGTCCATCCCCCTTCCCAACCCCCCTAGTACTGGAGATTGAAGACGGGTACTCTACCACTGAGTTATATTCCTGCCCCCTTTTTATTTTATTTTTTAATTTTAGGACAGGTGTCGCCCTAAGTTGCCTGGGATGGTCTCAAACTTGCAGTTCTCTTGCCTCAGCCTTCTCAGTAGCTGAAATTACTGGTGTGGGCCACCATCTGGGGCAAGATGTTCTTTCTTATTATCTCCTTCCCCTTCTTAACTATGGTGTGAGTAAGATATCATAGTGTGGTTGTAACAGTTGATTCAGTTAATCCCATGTTGAACATTTGGCTTTCTCATCTTTTGCTCTTACTAACAATGAAGTAATGAGTAATATGTGTCATTTTGTATTTAGGCAGGACTCTCTCTTGATTTCTTCAAGAGGAGTTGCCCAGTGGTAAGTATTTATATCCACACCAACAGTGTGCATTAGCGTCTTTCCCCCTGGAACCTCAGCGTCAGACTTTAGTGTTGAATATTTGATATTTTGCCAAAGACATAAATGAGATTTAATTACAAGTGAGGTGTTGGGTATCTTTTCATAATTGTCTGTTTGTACCCTTTCCCCCAATTTTTTTAAAAAAATATTTTTCTTTAGTGTAAGTTGACACAATACCTTTATTTTATTTATTTACTTTTATGTGGTGCTGAGGATGGAACCCAGGGCCTTGCACATGGCTAGGCGAGTGCTCTACCACTGAGCCACAACCCCAGCCACTCCCCAACTTTTTTAAGGAATGTCTTCTAGAAACTGTACACATAAAGTAGCCCTATGTGAAATAAGTTTGAAGGTTTTTCCACCTAAGTTTTTCATTTTGTGTTTTGATAAGTTTTTTTTGTATGTTTTTTCATTTGTTCACAGAGATTTTCATTTTTAAACTATGCAAAAAAAAAGTTTTTGTAGATTTATCTGTCTTTTCATTACTAATACTAGTCTGTATTTTATTTTTATACGGTGTGAACCCAGGGCCTCACATGTACTAGGCAAGCGCTCTACCACTGAGCCACAATCCAAGCCCTGTTTTCAGATTCTTTATAGTGCTGTAGTTTATATGGATTTTATATATTATCCATCTAGAGTTTAAAAAACAAAAAGGGGGCTGGGGATGTGGCTCAAGCGATAGCCCGCTCGCCTGGCATGTGTGCGGCCTGGGTTCGATCCTCAGCACCACATACAAACAAAGATATTGTGTCTGCTGAGAAGTAAAAAATAAATATTAAAAAATTCTCTCTCTCTCTCTCTCACTCTTTAAAAAAAAGGGTGGGGGGCTGGGGATGTGATACAGTGGTTAAGCACCCTGGGTTCAATCCCTGATACCAAGAAAGTAAAAGGAAAATGTTTTTTGAACAAATGGATAAACATTTGTAGGACATTTCTGATACAGTATGAAGAAGTAAATATTAAAACTCCAGGAAAACTATTGACTTTTGATTCCTGAATACTATTAGAACAACTGCTTACACATTGTACTCATGTGGCTTAGTTTCAGTAGACAAAGATAATGAGTATTGAATTCTTGCAGGAATAAGGGCCATAGTGAAAATCTATTTAGGAACCTGGGTTGGAATGTGGTGCTAGAGAACAATAGCAGTCAGTCATGCGAATAAATGAACAGTTTTCCTATGTGACTAAAATTCTGAAAGCTAATTCTTCCTTTCTGTATGTGTGGAGACTTCAAATTACTTAGTATGACTTTGAGATTAGGATTCAAAATGTTTATTTCCTATGCACATACTTGTGTTCTCTAGTCGACCAAGCCAAAAAGTCATTACTTTGTTCTGTTTCACAGGGCTGCTTCCTTGTGTATCTCTGCAAACTACATTTTCCTCATCCTTCAGAAGGCTATAGACCCTGAATCCCCAAGGCTTCTCCTGAGTTCTAGGATGGTGCTTTGGCCTCATCATTAACATTCTAATCCTGTGATTTCCCTTGAAAGCAGGTGATAAAGAGACCAAACTATATGATCCTCCACTGAAGCAAGAAGATCCACTGGATGGTGGGGAAAAAGTGGAAAAGAAGTCTTGTCAGGTGAGGGAATGACAGGCTGAAGTGCTTTTGAAGACATTTTCTTATCTGTAGGTTCCTGAGGGATGTTTTCAGTCATAAGTGTTTTTTTGTTTTTTTTTTCTTTTTTGTTGGGGGGTGGGTACTGGGTTTTGAATTCAGGGGCACTCAACCACTGAGCCACATCCCTAGCTGTTTTTTTTTTTTTTTGTATTTTATTTAGAGACAGGGTCTCAGCTGAGTTGCTTAGTGCCTTCCTGTTGCTGAGGCTGGCTTTGAACTCATGATCCCCCTGCCTCAGGGCCACATACCCCTCTCTCTCGTCTTTGTTCTGTTGTCAACACTTAATACTTCGTTTTTTTTTTTTTTAAAGAGAGAGTGAGAGAGCGAGAGAGAATTTTTTTACTATTTATTTTTTAGTTCTCGGCGGACACAACATCTTTGTTTGTATGTGGTGCTGAGGATCGAACCCGGGCCGCATGCATGCATGCCAGGCGAGCGCGCTACCGCTTGAGCCACATCCCCAGCCCAATACTTCATTTTTACTGCCTCTGTTTTGGTTGTTTTCCTTCAGTGTCATATCCAGTTTCATAATTCTTTATAGGTCATATGTCTTTGCATATCATCTAGTGTTCATGTTCCTTTTTATTCCTTGTCTCATTCTTTCAGTGATTAAGTGCTTCAGAATTATATTTTATATCTGTAGTCTTACTTCATGTTATCTTTTAAGCATCTCCCTTGTCATAATCAGTACACTTCTCCACTTTTCTCACTTCACTTCCATATACCTCTTTCATATGTTGCCAACTTAGAAATTATTGGTGCCTGTCTACTACTGTGTGTGTGTGTGTGTGTGTGTGTGTGTGTGTGTTTGTGTTCGTGCGTGTGCGCTTGTCTACTAATGTGTGTGTGTGTGTGTGTGTTTGTGCGTGTGCGCGCGCTCATGTGGGTATCTGAGTTTTTGCTTTGTGAAAATCCCCCTCCCATCTTTATTGATGAATACTTTCAGGGCCAGTAAAACTTTGATTAAATCATTTGGGCTTTTTTCTGTTGTCTTTTTGACAAAGGTGTAAACATTTTCGAATGTCAAGGTACATAGCAAAAAAAAAAAAAACACAAAATTCCCTCCTGCTTCTCTGACTCACTCCTCCTGCGGTGTTTCTTTTCAAAGAGACACACATATTCCTCTTTGAGGGAGTCTATGAAAAACCAGCATATGTTATATACCTCTGCCACAAACACACATAAGCTCTCATTTTTCCTTTTCATATAAGTGGTGTTACATATTTTATTGTGTGCAGTATTTTTTTCCTTAGAATTCTTCATCAATACATAATGTATTTAACCTGTCTCTTATTAATGGCTGTGTAGGCTATTTTCAGACTTATGCTATTGAAGATACCAGAATGCATGCTTATTTATATTGATTTGCAGAGATATGCAGACAAAACTGCATCTCTTTTACTAAAGAGTAGGTAAAAAATGTAAGTAAAATGTAGTAAAAGTAAAAATTTAGTAAAAGTTAGGTTTGATTGAAATATGCACATTGTTCTCAAAAGAGAAGTAACCAATGTACATTTCTACCAACATGATAAATTTATGTATTTAACAAGTATTGATTAATAGGTATTAGTTACTAATAGGTATGAGGTCTGTTTATTATTTTGGAATCACCCCTCTTGGAATTCTGTTATTTCTATTTGATTGGTGCTTTGGTACCTGTGATGTTGCTTATCATAGTTGTCTCATTTTTTCCTTTTTTTTTTTAATATGTATTTTTTAGTTATAGTTGGACAGAATACCTTTATTTTTATGTGGTGCTGAGGATCGAACCCAGGGCTTCGCACATGTAGGCAAGCGCTCTACCGCTGAGTCACAACCCCAGCCCCTACTTTTGTCTTTCTTTATCATAAATCATTCTCTTATGGAGGTGGCTTCCAGAATCCTGGCTTGTTCCTTTCTTCCGACCCTTTACAAATTATTTTTGGATACTTACAGCTTTTTGTCTTGCCTGCCATCATCTTACCTGTTAATTGGATAGACAAGTATCAGATTTTATTCTCATAGTATCAGTGAAATCCTTAATTTTTATTTACCATGATTTCAGATACCCATAGTGTTCTGAAAATGTTAATGAAAAATTCCAGAAATAAGCAGTTCTTAAGAAAATTGCCATTCTAAGTAATTGGGTGAAGTCTCACATTGTCCTAGAATGTGAACCTCTGTTTATTCAGTGTATCCATACTGCATACACAGTTCAGCCTGTGACAGTAGAGAATGAGAGGGAGAGTTTATATTTACATAACTTTGAATATAGTATATTGTTATAATTTTTCTATTTTTGTTGTTACTCTCACTGTGAATAATTTTGTAAATTAAAGGAAAAACACAACATATTATAGATTTTGGTTCTATTCGTGGCTTCAGGCATGCACTGGAAGTCTGGAAATGTATTCCCTGAGGATAAGGGAAGATTAGTACTCTACCCAAATTAGAAATTTTATTCCATTATTTTCAGATCCAGAGATCATCTCAGACCAGTTTCATATTATGCCTGGATTATTTCTTAAGATCATTGAGGTCTTTAAAAAGGTATACTTCACTGTACTCAAGAGAACATAGACCAAATGATTATGAATATGAACATTTCTTTCTCTGTAAAATTCTTTGAATCTTGACCTTTGATTATGAAATTTTCTACTTATGTAGGTACTGCTTATCATTTAAACTTTTTTGTGTTGCACACTGTAATCCCAGCAGCTCAGAAGGCTGAGACGGGAGGATTGTGAGTTCAAAGCCAGCCTCAGCAATGGTGAGGCGCTAAGCAACTCAATGAGACCCTGTCTCTAAATAAAATACAAAATAGGGCTGGGGATGTCAGTGGTGGAATGCCCCTGAATTAAATCCCCAGTTACACCCTCCCCCCAAATAAAAATTTAAACTTTAAAAAAATATGCTTTTAGTTACAAGTGGACATGGTACCTTTATTTTATTCATTTGTTTTTATGTGGTGTTGAGGATCACACATGCTGGCCAGCGCTGTACCATCCCTAAACTTGAATTAAGTTGTCATTAAAATGGTCCTACTAATTTCATCTTTTTTTGATCAGCCCATTGATTGTCCATCCTATCTGGTGTTTTCTAGAGAAATTTAAAAGTCTTCAGGATATTTTATTTATATTTGGATATCTACAGTCTTTATTATATTATAAACTGTTGAAGAGAATGCTTGTGTTTTATTTTTCCTGTTGGCAGTTTTGAGTACACATGTGGTGCTCTTAGTCTATGAATTATTGTTGTGGAAGAGTGCTTCTTAATTAATTATTATTTTTTTAAATGGACAGTTTTTAAGAGTATTGCAGTAATCTTATATACCCACCATGCATTGAGTAATTAATGTTTTCTTGTTTTTATGTGTGTCTATATCTTTTTTGTGTACCAAAATGTCCTGACATTTCACTCCTAAAAAATTAACTATATCTTTTCTAAAAATAATGAAATCCCCCATATAACCAAAATACCATTGCCACACCTTAAAAGACTAACCATAATGCTCTGATATTATAGATTATCTAGTTCAAGTTTCTCAGTTGTCTCCAAAATATTTTTTATAGGTTTTTTTGTTTTTGTTTTTTTTAAATTTCAGGGTTAGTTAAGAGATTTGATTGTTGCCTTTTTAAATGGTTACCCCCTCACCATCATTTTCCCCTGATATTTCCCTTAGTATTTTTAAAATGTATACTGTCAGATGTGCCAAAAGAAAAAGAGCAAAGCCATTGATACTATCTAGCCTTTAAAGTTATAGTTAGGATGTTAAAGGACTTTGCAATATATAAATTTGTATTTAAAAAAAAGTTTCATCTGCTGGGGATGTATGTATGTTAGTGGTGGAGTACTTTCCTGATATGGTCAAGGTCCTGGCTTGATTCTTTTTATTTATTTATTTATTTGTTGCCGCAGTCCGGCTGGGCAAAATAACCGGGAGGTGACAAGCAACTTGAAGGTTGAAGCGGGAACTGCTTTATTACAGAACAACAGCGGTATATATACCTAACTGATTACACACAGTTTGACTCAGTTAGCATCATCTGGATACAGCAGTCAGCCAATAAGGAATCCCCACCATCTTAATGGCTCTGTGGCGTTGCCTCACAAACCACTCCTCCTGGCAAACTGCCAGGCACCATCTTGACTTGTTTCGCGGTCCCCAACAATTTGTTAGGTATAGTTGGACACAATGCCTTTATTTATTTTTATGTGGTGCTGAGGATCGAACCCAGGGCCTTGCACATGCTAGGTGAGCACTCTACCACTGAGCTACAACCCCAGCCCCCTGGCTTGATTCTTAGCGCTGGGGTGGGGGTAAGGTGGAGTGGGGGTGGGCAGGGCAGTATGTATGTATTTTATATAAAATACTTACTTTTAGAAAAGTGAATATGATTGTTATTAGTTGAGAGAAAGGATTTTAAAAGATAAAATTAGGTCATTTAAGAGTATGTTCTTGGAACTCCTTCCAGGAGGATTCTACAAAGGTTAAAAGATAGGAGAGATCCTAGGCTAAGAAGGATATGAAGAACGAGATATGGAAAATTGTGACTTACTATTTATATATTTACCACTCTTGATCTTCTTTAGGGCCTATGAAAGCTGAGAATTTATTTCTTCTGGCTATCCATATCTTGAGGCTGGGGACATGGCTCAGTTGGTAGAGAGCTTGCCTCACATACATAAGGCCCTGGGTCAATCTCCAGCACTAAAATAAATAATCAGTCAGTCAATCAATAAATCTCTTTCAGGTCTTGATGGACTTTTTGCTTTCTCAGATGTAACCTTACATAAGATTGAAACTCGACTCCTTCCCTAACTGTTTTCCATAGCATTTAGTAACTTGTTAGCAAATCATTTCTTTTCCACTAGAATGTAAACTTGAGGGCAGAAGTTTTTTCAGTTTTAATCAGTATAGTTTCTCTAGAGCCTATACTTGTGCCATGCACATAGTAAGGATACAAAAAGCTATCTGATTCTACAGTATTTTCAGCACCACAAAAATGCTATACCCATTAGCAATCACTTATATTTTTAAAAAATTGAGTACCTCTAAAATATTTGGTTTATATGGTGATATTTATCTTAAAAAAATACAATTGAGGGGCTCAGTGGTAGAGAACTTGCTTAGGACATGTGAGGCAGTAAGTTCAATCCTCAGCATCACATAAATATAAGTAAATAAAGGTATTATGTCCACCTACAACTAAAAAGTATAAAAAATACAATTGAGATACTTAAAAATATTAATTTACTTTAAAAAAAAATGGGCTGGAGTTGTGGCTCAGTGGTAGAGTGCTTGCCTAGCACTCATGAGGCACGGGGTTCAATTCCCAGCATCACATTAAAAACAATGAACAAATAAAATAAATATATTGTGTGCACTTACAACTAAAAAAATATTTTAAAAAAATAAAATGATTATAGGTAACTAAACATTTCTTAATTAAAACAGTAATTTTCTGGGCTGGGGTTGTAGCTCAGTGGTAAGAGCGCTTGCCTTGCATGTGTGAATCGCTGAGTTCGGTTCTCAGCACAACATTAACAAACAAATAAATAAATAGTAATTTTCCAAAACAAAAAAATGTAGTAAGAAAAGGGAATTGTTTTACATATTTGTAAATATCTTTGTCTGGTTTAATACAAGATGGCTGGATTCTCATATTAACTGTTGTGAAATGTTCTGATAGAAATATGCCCTCAAAATCAGGCTTTACATAGCCCTAATTTTTCTATATAGTTAGAAAGGGGAGAAGTATTTTAATAGCCTTTTCAAGTAGTGATGAGTATTCTTTGGTACTGTAACCATGCTTGACAAGGTTTTTTTTGTTTTGTTTTGTTTTTTCCTTTTCTGAGATTGTCTGACAATGTAGGATTTGAAACTATAAAAAATTTATTTTGTACTATTGTATAAAATCCAGTTTTGAATAAATTTATAGGCGTAAGATGCTCTGGTGTGCTTTTGCACAGTATGGTGATTATAATATATTTTATATTTCAGAAAGCTTTAAGAAAGGATTTTGAGTTTTCATCCTAAAGAAATTGAAGTTTGGACTGGGGACATAGCTCAATTGATAGAGTGCTTGCCTGGCCTGCACAAGGCCATGGGTTCAATCCCCAGCACCACTTAAAAAAAGAAAGAAGAAAAGTTTGAGGAGATTTTTTTTGTTCTTTGAATAGTTCTTCTAAACAGTTTTTTTTTTTTTCATTTTTTTTTTGAGATGATTTTTACTAAGATATTATCTCCTTGGTTACCCTCTGAATTTGACCTTAAAGCTTTTACTACTTTTGCTACTTGTGATGATGTTTGACAAACAAGGTACCTATACCTACCTAACCATGGCTGAAAGTGTTAAGAGGGAGGTCATGCAATTCTTTTGGAGTAAGGAGACCCTGTTCTTGGTAAATGGTAACACAGTTTCTACCTAGTCTACCTCATCCTTGTTTCTCCCTTTCTTAATTTCTTTCTTTCTTTTTTTTTGGTACTGGGTATTAAACCCAGGGTACTAACCACTGAGCAACATCTTTAGTCCTTTTTTTATGTTTTATTTAGAGACAAGGTCTCACTGAGTTGTTAAGTGCCTCACTGTTGCTGAGGCTGGCTTTGAACTCAAAATCCTTCTGCCTCAGCCTCCCAAGCTGCTGGAATTATAGACATGAGGCACTGCACATGGCTATTTAATTATTTTTATGTGATGCTGAGGATCAAACCAAGTGCCTTACACTTGTTAGGCAAGCACTCGACAACTGAGCTACAGCCGCAGCCCCACAAGGGAACTTTTTCTTAATGCTTATTTCTTAGAAAACCTTGTTATTGTTTCATTAGTGAAATATTTTCCTATAACTCTCTGTGATTGGTATTTGTGTTTCGTTGTTGTGTCTTGCTTGTATTTCCTCCAAGCTGTTTTTTTCTTTTCTTATTTTTATGTTTTCTTATGTTTTGGCAGGGTTTATTCAAATGTGTGTAAAATACTTATGGCAGTCATATTTACCAGTGATTCACTAAAAGGGGATCATAAGTGCTTTTGTTTCTGGGTTAGTTTAATGTTTATCATGGGCCTTTTTGTTTCTTCAGAGAAAGATCCTCTAATATCTTGCTCATAGGTATGTATGCATACCTTAGTGCCAACATTGTTTTGACTTCCGCTGCTGAATAATGTCAAATCTATATGTAATGTGGTGCTGAAAGTCTTGCCATATTACATATAGGTTTAACCCTAGTGGTTTCAACATAGTGGCTCTGCCCATCATCTCATTATAGCTTTATGGTAGGATGTTTGCCTAGCATTCACAAGGCCATGGAGTTCAATCCCCGTACCAGGGGTAAAAAAGAGTATTGATTTGCCGGGTGCCCTTGAGGATGCAGCTTATTTGATTAAATTTATACAAAGAATTAGTCAACTTGATATGAAGAGGTTAGTCCTTGTCTGTTTTGACTGGATGACTACAAGTCCAAATGTCATACTATCCACCCCCCACCCCCTACCCCCACCCCTATGGTAGTACAGGAGTTTAAATTCAAGGATGTACTACCATTAAGCTTCAGTCCTTTTATTTATTATTTTCAGACAGGGTTTCACTAAGTTGTTGAGGGTCTTCCTAAGTTGCCAAGGCTGGTCTTGAAATTGTGCCTCAATTTTCTCTCTCCTAAGCCTCCCAAATTGCTGGCAATCATATTTTCTTTTATTTGGCTACTATCCTTTATTCCTTTTTATGAGATATTTGTGTCTCTTCATTTCCTGATTTGCTGGGTTTCTGTTCTCATGACTAAAAGGCTCAGGGGTCACTCCAGTTAAACTGGGCTAATTGGGCTGCATGAAATAACCACAGAAAAGACACAAATACCTTTTTCTTTGGGATCGCTGTGATGGCTCCTCTGACCTTAAGGGTAGGGTCCACAGAAAGAGCGAGAGTACATGCTGACCCCTTTTATTGAGAAGAAGCTATTCAAATGAGATAAGGGGTCAGTTTTCAGGGGGCTGAGTCTATCTTCATTATGTCCACTGTCAGTAGGTTGACTGATACCTGGGTACTTGACACCCAAGAGCACACTATGAGAAGGGGACACACACGAGGCACTTCCATGGAAGATTCTATCCTAAACAGGGCAAGGGGTTATATTACAAAGGAACAGGTGAGCATAGCTTCACCCATGGGGCTGTAGCAAGACACACCCGAACACGAGACACTGACATTCGAACCCAAGAAGGGTGGGGAAAGCTCTGCCACATTTCTGTGACTGAGGGCCTCAGCACCCAGCTGGGGAGTATGTCTCAGTCACATGTAAGGTTGGTCTCCCACACTGAGTTTTTTTGATATTTTGTAATAAAAATCAGGTTTTGATTAACATTGTAGTCCTCTATACAGGATCTTTATATTATATGAGCTTCCTCAAATAATGTATTTTTTTGTTTCTTTTTTTTTTGTGGTGCTGGGGATTTGTATACATCAGGCAAGCTCTCTACCAGCCAAGTTATATCCCCAACCCCCCACAGATAACATTTTGTTGTGCATTGAAAAATCTTTCATTGTTGAAAAATTATGGCTGTTGTGTCCTATGTCTCCTACATATGCTTTTTCTTATGAGTTTGTACCATTGTTCTTGTTATTTTTCTTTTTAATACAATTGCTTTTAGTTGTAGTTGGACACAATACCTTTATTCTGTATATTTATTTTTATGTGGTGCTAAGGATCGAACCCAGTACTCAAACGTGTGAGGCAAGTGCTCTGCCGATTAGCCACAACCCCATCGCCATGTTCCTTGTTATTTTAATCTGGTTTTGGTAGGGACCAGTTGTGTGATCTTTTCCCTTTCTTAAACATCTCTTTTAAGTCTTATGGTATGTGGACTGAGCTAGTCAAGTAACCACAGCTTTCTCATTTTTATATGGTCATCTTTTTATCTGTTTGGCAGTTCATCATTGTTAGGCTTTTTGCTGAATTTGGGAATGGCAATGTTTTTTCAAGAGTGGTCTAAGTTTTGTGAACCCACAAGTTTGGCTTTTACTCACATGCCCCCTCTAATGGTTCTCTTCTGAAAATTTAATTAGAGACGTTGTTCGTATGGATTTCTTCCTTCTGGGAGATGGCCTACCAGCAAAAAGCATAATTTGGTATTTTATTGCTGGTAATGGGAACATTCACAAATAATAGTGATGGTAATATAAAGGTAATATTTATGAATGCTCACCATGCACCACCTATGATTCTGAGCATTTTATATATTAACTCCTCTAAATTATCATTCTTTACTCCATTTTAGAAAAAGCCTGAGAAGATGATGAACAGATAGAGAAGCAACAAGACTTGGGAGGCAAGTTGTGTTCATCAAACTACAGACTGAGGAAAAAAGGATGTGGATATAAGAAAATTGGAAAAATCCTTTGTTTGCTCAACCTCATTTCTTTAAGGAAACATTTTTGAAGTATTAGATTGAAACCGTTTAGACGTAACTATGAGGGAAGGTATGTAGTTGAGTCTCCAATTTTACTAGCTGGATGTTCTCTACCACTGCTTATTTTTTATGGTAATATTCCCCTATAAGTGTAAAGCAGTGTGAAATGCCTTCAGTATAAACAGTGTGATATAGCATCTGATAACAGAGCATTCATACTGGAGGAAAACCTTATGAGTTTACTGAATGTGGGAAAACTTTTACCCACATATCACATTTCTTTGAACATAGAAGTCATGCTGAAGGGAAACCTTGTGCTTCTAAAGAGTATTGAAAAGCCTTTAGCTAGATGATAAAATTTTCTCACAAATCTTATCCATTCCTCTGCATTTGAGAGGTCATACAGAGAAGCCTTCTAAATGTAAGAAATGTGGAAATATCTTCAGTCAAAAGTAAATCCTCGTGTATCAAGAAATTCATACTGGAGA